TTAAGCGACTGCCTTCGGCTCAGGTCATGATCCTGGAGTCCCTGGATCGAGTCCCGCATCGGGCTCCCTGCTCAGCAGGGAGGCTGCTTCTCCCTCTGACCCTCCCCCCTCTCATGTGCTCGCTCTCTCTCATTCTCTCTCTCTCAAATAAATAAAATCTTAAAAAAAAAAAAGATTTATTTATTTGAGAGAGAGAGAGAGAGAGTGGATGAATGGGGGAGGGGCAGAGGGAGAGGGAGAAACAGACTCCCTGCTGAGCAGGGAGCCCGATGTGGGACTCGATCCCAGGACCCTGAGATCACGACCTGAGCCAAAGGCAGACACTTCACTGACTGAGCCACCCAGGGACCCCTTTTAGTGAGTTTAAAAAAAAGTCAGTTGTATTTTTAGTTCTATAATTTCCATTTGGTTCTTTAAAAGGATAACAGCTTTATTGAGAACATAACTCATACACCACAGATGTATCCTTTAAAAGTGTATAATCCAGTAGTTTTTAGTATACTCAGAATTATACCACAATCACCACTGGCTGATTTCAGAACATTTTCATCTCCCCAAAGGAAACCCCATACCTATTAGCAGTCATTTCCAATTTTCTCCTCCTTCCAGCCCCTGGCAAACACTAATTCACTTTCTCTCTCTGTGGATTTGCCCAATCAGGACATTTTATATAAATGGAATCATACATGTGGTCTTTTGTGTCTGACACTTAGCATACTGTTTCCAAGGTTCATTCCACTGTTGCAGGTGTCAGACCTTCCTTCCTTTCAACGGCTGAATATGTTCTGTGTTGTGGATAGACCATATTTTTTTATCCATTCATCGACTGATGTACATTTAGCTTGTTTCTATTTTTTGTTTATTATGAATAATGCTGCTATGAACATTATGTACAGGTTTTTGTGTGGACATAACTTAATTTCTCTTTGATATGTACCTTGGAGTGGAATTGCTGGGTTAACATTATGAATAACTGCCAAACTGTTTTCCAAAGTGGCTGCACCATTTTCCAATCTCATGAATGTTCCAATTTTTCCACACCCTCACGAGTAGTTCATTTTTATAACTTCTATTTCTTTGCTGAGATTTTTTGTTTTTTTTTCCCATTTGTTTCAAAAGAGTTTGCAATTTACTGTGGAAACATCTTTTATGAAGACTACTTTAAAATCCTCGGCAGATAGTTCTGAGATCAACTTCACCTTGTATCAGTTCATTGTATTTTATCATCAAATTGTTGTTTTCCTGATTTTTCATATGATGGATGATTTTCACTTGTATTCTGGACTGTGATGGTGGGAGACCCTTCCATGTCAGCAGGTAGTCATCCTGTTTAGGTTCAGAGTATAGGTTCTGTCCTTTTGCAGCTTTAAGTCCAATGACAGTTCAGTTTTTAGGGGCCTTGAAAGGCTATCCTGGGCTGTCTCATTCTTTTGGTGCTGTGGGGCTTCCACTCAGTCCCTGCTGGTCCCCAGAAGTCTGGTGTCACTGTGCCACTGTCTGTGGTGGGGAGCCAAGCCTACTGGGCCTGGATGGAGGGCAGAGACTCAGGGCTTTGTTGCTGCGGCTGTGGGCAGATTGGACCAACTGTCTGACTGTGGGGTCTGAGTAAAGCTACTCTGTCAGCAGTTATCAGTGTGGGAGGAAACCCACAGCCTGGGCCCCTCGCTCATACCTGGCAATGCTCAGGGCTACCAAGGCCATTGGTTGCTCTGCTCAGAGACAGAGAGACAGACCCCTGATAGGTTCTGGAAAGGCCCTCACTGTCCCCATTGGTTCCTGGAGGCCATTGGTGGCTCCTACTTCTGTATATTTGACTCTTGACTGTAATCTCTGCATTGCCCCAGTTGAGCGGCTGGAGCTGGTTGAGCCCTCGGGGTCACAGGGCCATGAAGACAGTTCTCTGGGCCTTGGGACTGGGGACCCTTCTCTTCACTCTCAGGGCAGTCCCCATTGGTAAGTTTCTCCTTCCCTCATCCATGGAAGCTTCTGGAGGCAGTGGTTCTGTAGAGCCTGAGACCCTGGGGTGTGGGGGTCTTCTGCTATGACCAGCTGTCTGTCTGGCTCTTGCTCAGCCCAGAGGTGGATGGGTCATCCTGGGGCAAGTGGGCATGTGGGTTCCAAAGTGTGTATCCCTGGAGGCTCTTGTTCTAACAAAGACTGAGCAGATCTAATTCCAGGGTGAACGCAGGGTGCAGGGCTGGGTCAGAGCCTGGATGGAATGAGGGGACATGGCTAGTGTCTGGTCCCAGTGATCCCCATGGACAGGAGGTGTTGATGGGTCCTGCGGAGGGGCTGCTCCATCCCCTTTCCCTGGGGCTGGGTGGCTGGTGGGGGAGTGGAAAGCCAGCTGTACCTGGCAGTGAGGGTGACCATTCAGCTTGTGCTGGGACATGGAAGAGAGACACAGTTCCAGGGAGTCACAGTAGCAAGGTGGGGGGCACAGGGGTGTGGGATGCTGCTGGGTCCAGAAACCAAGAGGCAGAATCATGGGCAGCAAGCTGTAGAGAGGGGGTTCTGCCGGATGGAACAGCACGGAAAGGCTGGTAGTGAGAGAGCAAGCCCCTGGGGGGGGACTGCATATAGTAACATGGGGCCTCTGACTGGGTGAGTGATAGTGTTGGTGTCAGAGAGTGTGTGTGAGTGTGTGCATGCATGTGAGTCCCACAGGGAGACGCACAGGGGATACGGGAGAGGGTAGCAGTGTCCAGTGCCCTGGAAACTGAGGGAAGAGCATTTCACTGGGCAGGCTGATCCCTGGCCCAGCCCAGGTGGCCTCAGAGCTGGACACTAGGGGCGCCCCAGGTGGTGGTGGCAGGAATCTGTGGGCAGTGATGCCATGCGTGGGAGTGGTGTAGGAAAACCGGAGGGGATCCTGTTTTGTGTTAGAGATGCAGACACCCATGCACAGGTTGGAAGGGGATGAGGAGGCTCTGGGGGATGTACCAGAGATGGACCAGTGATGAATGAAGACCCTCAGGGGTCAGTGAGAGCGGTAGGGAGAGGGACATGCCTTCCTCTGGATCTGTGTGCGGGAGTCTGCCCTCTGTCTCCTCCCTCTGTGAGTCCAGGATGGGCCCAGGAGGTGGTCTGGGGTGGCCCAGGCTGGGACAGAGACTTCTCCGTGACTGCTGTTGTGTTTCTCCAGCACCAGCCCAGGAAGGGGTGGTGAGAATCCGGGATCAAGGGGCTGTGATGGGGAGGGGCTGTGCGGGAAAAACCAGGGTGCAGAGGCCTAGAAGGGGTGTGGTTCGGGAAATAACATCCTGGTCCTGGTGAGGTGGTCCATTTGGTCCTGGTCCCGGGAGCTGCCGAGACCTGAAACCCGAGGAGCCTGGGAGAGCGGAAGGAAGGACAGGCAGCTGGCTGGGGGTGGGGTAGAGGTGAGGAGGGAGTGGAGAGTGGTGGGGTGCGTGTGGTGGGCCACAGGCCCGCCAGTGGAGGGGGGGAAATAATGATTGGGAGGCGCGGTGGGGTGGTGGGAAGAGCAGCCCCAGTTCCAGGCAGCGGAGGACAAGTGACTTCCTTGCCTGGGGGGTGGGGTCACCCACATCGTAGGGCGCCCCAGAGGGCTTGGGAGGGGAGCGGAGGACATGGTTGGGGGGAGGGGGACTGTGGAGGCAAGGACGCAGGGCTGCGTGGGGGCAGTGGGCGGGTCTCTGTGTGACCCCACCCCGTCACCTTTCTGGACTGCGCGTACTGGGGGGTCAGGGGACTTGACTTTGTGCTGAGGCCTCACAGCAAGACCTTGGAAGTGGCCGTGGGCAAACGCAGGCGTCTTTATACCTCCCAGCTGCAGCCGGCTCTCCCCCCACCCGCACAAAGACGGTTCCGGGCCCCTCTGAGGCTGGCCTGTCCTTCTGTAGGCGGACCAGGCGACCTGAGGCTGGCGTACAGACACAGTTCCTGCGACGGAGTGGTGCTGGTCCGCCACAAGGAGCAGTGGGGACACGTGTGCAACCAGGAGTGGACGTTGGCGGAGGCATCTGTGGTCTGCAGGCAGCTGGGCTGTGGACATGCTGTGGGTGCCCCCAAGTACGTCCCGTTGCCCGGGGAGATGGTGCGGCCCTGGCTTCACAATGTGTCCTGCAGGGGTGATGAGCTTTCCTTCTGGGAGTGCAGCCTCGGGGCTTGGACTCGGAGCCAGTGCCCTCACGAGTGGGTGGTGGTTGCTCTGTGTGCAAGTAAGTCCGTGCAGGAGGAAGCTGGGGAGGGGGGAGGAGAGAGGATCTGCGGGGGCACTCCTTACTGGGCATGGGAACCATCCCCACCTGTAAAGCTTTCCAACCTCTCATGACTCTTTCATTCCTTCTGTTAGCGGTCCGTTGCTTTTCATTCAACAAGTGCTTATTTGCAAGGCACTATTCTGGGTGCTGGGGATGCAGCTGTGAATAAATCAGACAAAAATCCTGCTGCATGGAGCCTGTACTCTCCTAGGGGGAAACAGAGTAAATAAAGAAGTACAACAGCAATGTGGGAATGTGGAGAAGCGGGAAACGGACAGACGGGTGGGGGCTAGGGACCACCCTGTCTTCTAGACACCTGAGGGTGCCTGTCGGTGTTTAACATTAGTTATTTAAACATGATTTCAAAAATGATGAGGAGGCAAATGCTTTCCCTTTGAGGTCTATCTTGAGGGTCTTCTGCTGTCTCTGGGCACTTGTGAACTTGTGAGGCCCCGGATAGCCTCCTGTCTGTGAAGCTGACCCACTACATGGTTAACGGGGCCCAGTATAAAGCGAAAATGCAGGGACCCTTGTTCAAAACAACAAGATTTTCAAGACAGTGACAGCAGAGTATTAAGCCAGGCACAGGTCCCTCTGAGGGGTGGGGGGGAGGGCTTTGTGACTGGCTGCTCTCAGAAAGGGCCTTCTGGACCCTCTGGAAGGAGCAGGGTTGGTTGCAGCCTCTGATCCAGGCCCAGCGTAGCGACTGCCACGCCCAAATGGAGTCTGGTCATCGAGGCAGGCCAGAGGCTCTGAGTGGCCATGCGGCCAGCAGAGTCCCCACCTTCTGTCACGTGGGCCTGTGCTTCTCAGATGGCACCTTCCGGGAGATCCGGCTGGTAAAGGGCCGCAGCCCCTGCTCTGGACTCCCCGAGATCAGGAATGTGAATGGGGTGGATCGCCTCTGCGGCCTGCATGAGGAGGAGGCCACGGTGTTCTGCCAGGAGCTGGGGTGTGGGCCTGTGCTTCAGGCCCCCCGCCAAGACGTGGGGGTCGTCAGGAAGTACCTGACGTGCAGGGGTACTGAGCCCACCATCCGGAACTGCAGACTCAACAATAATCTCCGCAGTGGTTGTGACTTCCAGCAGGACGCGGAGGTCGTCTGCTCAGGTGAGGCCCCACGCGCGGCCCTCCTGAGTCTCAGGGCGCACACCCCTGGGGAAGGAGCTGCTGGGAGTGGTCTCAGCTCTTGCAGACCCATCTCCTCCTGACACCCGGGCAGTTTGGTGTCTCAGATGGATTAGGCATGGGCTGGACAGGTGAGGGCAGGCACTGTGACCATCTGGCGTTCTCTAGCTCACAGACGCCTGGAGGTGAGAGCACAGGAGGCGCTCTTGGGTGGCTCACCATGTGCCTCACCAGGTCCCCTGTGTGTGCGTCCCCGCAGAGGTGTCCTGGCTCAGAATCCCTGGGCCAGCTGGGGTCCTGGCTGTCCTGCAGCATCTGCGCTGGTTGAGCTGTGATTGTCACCTTATAACATGAGTCAGCTGGCTGGTGGTTGCCCCCTCCCAGTCCTGTCTCAGATGGGCAAGTGAGTTGGCCCTCATAGATCCTGCCTGTGTTCTGGGAATTAGGAAAGGCTAAAGTGAGGTGGAAGGGCCACCTTCCTTGGTGCCCCCAAGAAGGCAGTGATCTGGGCCGGAGAGGTGCCTTGACCTGGCTTCCAAGACTATACAGGGTCCTGATGCCCCTGCCCTGGGCAGGCAGAGGCTGTGTGACACCTGAGGGCACCTGGAGGAGGTGACTCTGACCTCTGATCTCAGGGAAGTGACCAGGGACTCCTGCTCTGTTCTAGGTGGAGGGTGTATGGGCTATCAGTTTCTGCCCAGGGTTTGCAGACCCACTGCCTGGTTACAGATTGTCTACCCTGGCTGGAGCCTCCTGTGGCCCAGGGAGGTGGCTGAATTGTTCACCTGAGAACACTTATCCCTAACTGAGAGTTTGTATCCTCCCCTAGGACACATAGAAGCCCGGTTGGAGGGCGGTGAGCACCCCTGTGCCGGGCGTCTGGAAGTGAGGCGTGGCCTGACCTGGGGCACTGTCTGTGACGCTGACCTGGACCAGGCAATGGCTCACGTTATGTGCCGGGAGCTGCAGTGCGGCTCGGCTGTGTCCACTCCCGGGGGCGCCCACTTCGGCCGGGGTTCGGGGCCTGTGTGGACACAGGCCTTCCACTGTGCAGGCAATGAGTCTCTGCTGTTCCACTGCCCCCAGGGGCCTGGGCACCAGTGTGGGCACCGCCAGGATGCCGGGCTCAGGTGCTCAGGTGAGGCTGGGAGGGTAGCCTCAGGTAGACTTCCCTGCCAGCCTCCCTTGGTGACTCCCTCTGGGGTCTCTAAACTAGGCTCATAAAGGTGCCTCTGGCCAGAAGGGTGTGCGTGTTCCTGGTTGAGGAAGTGTTGCTTCTGTGGGTTCAGGGGGAGGAGAGGCTTGTGCCCCCCGCCGTGGCTACACCATAGTCTGTGGGCACATCTGCAGAGGCAGGATCTGGATGCTGAGGCTGAGGTGGGGAGGGAGCTAGTGAGGCAAGGGCGTGGCTGTGGCCAGCGCACTGGGTGCAAAGGAAAGAAGCTGGTCTGTGACTGAGGGGGACGCTGACTCCTACTCCCCTCTTCAGAGTTCCGGCTGGTTAACGGCAGCAGCAGCTGTGAGGGGCGCGTGGAGCTCCAAGTGCAGGGGGCCTGGGCACCCCTCTGTGCTGCCCACTGGGACTTAGCAGATGCCACCGTCCTCTGCCACCAGCTCAACTGCGGTAGTGCGGAGGCCACACCCCGAGGAGGCCACTTTGGGAACGGGGACGCTCCCATCTGGCCTGATGTGTTTCACTGTGTGGGGACAGAATCCTATTTGTGGAATTGCCCAGTAAGCACCCTGGGGGCCGGGGCCTGTGCGCCGGGAAACGCGGCTGCAGCGGTCTGCTCAGGTGGGTCCGCAAGAGCGGTGGGCTGAGGGAGGCTGGGAGTGGGCGGGGTTCTGCTGGGAGGTGGTGGTTGTCTCCCCCTGACCCCTTGTCCATGCGTGCGTCCTCCCCAGGTCTCCTCCACGCCCTGCGGCTGAGGGACGGACAGAGCCGCTGCGATGGCCGCGCGGAGGTCTCCCTGGACGGGGTGTGGGGCCGCGTCCTGGACGACGCGTGGGACCTGAGCGGCGCCCGCGTGGTGTGCAGGCAGCTGGGGTGCGGACAGGCTGACCGGGCCTACGACGCGCCTGCGCCCAGGCGCGGGGCGGTCCCGGTGGGGCTGAGCCGCGTGCGCTGTCGGGGCACCGAGAACCGCCTGACCCAGTGCAACGTGTCCGCATCCCCGCTGGTACCCTCGGGGGCCTCGCGGGACGCGGGCGTCGTGTGCTCGGGTGAGTGAGTGCCCGCGCCGCCCGCCCATAGCCCGCGGGCCGGCTGCCCT